GGGGTGGTGAGGCCCAAACGCTTAGCATGGTGCTGGTATCAGAGAAGCACGGCTGTCATGAGGAATAACAAAGGGAAATTGTGGTTTTTGCACAGCTTGAACATCCTTAACTCCCGCATCCTGAATATCAAAATTGAACTGACTCCTGATGGCAAAGGTGTTATCATAAGGGTCCCTGTCACTGCTAATGTCACCTTGGCACTGTGAGTATGCATTTGAATCTGAGAGTGGGGAGTGACCAGTGGGTTCCCAAATTTTCCGGAATCAGGCACTTTGCTAGACTACTATGTGGCCTTGGCCCTCAGTCTCCCAATCTGTAAATGAGGAAGACTTTCCAGCTCTAAAATCTGAACCTTAAAGGGTTCTAATGAACTTTGACCATAACCAAGTCTCTTTTAAAAGAAATTCCCATGAAAAAAAAAAAAGAAATTCCCATCAAATATTTCTGAAATCATAACATTTATCTAATTGTAAAATTTGAAAAATGGAGAAGACATGAGCATTCATGAGTCTTTGGCGAAATTCCCCCCAGCATGATTTGGTTTCTTGAAATTCTCTTTGAATAGCAGGGACCATTGTGCCTAATGCATCTAGTCTTTCACAGTATATAATGAAAGGGATATGTGACAAATATAATTTTAGTATATTAATTACTTTAAGAAAGATAGAGAGACAGAAGTACGAGCATGTGTGGAAACAGATAAATTGAGGACACGAGGGCTTCATCATTCATTGGATTCATTCATGAGATCTTGGGACGGTTCCCTGGCCTGTCTGTACCAATGTTTCCCCATTTTGAAAATAGAGATAATAGTGCTCTTCCCTCACGGTATCTGTGTGATGATGACATGGATTAATCCAGGCATTTTAGAAGTGCCTAGCGTATCATTTGCCCTCGATAAATGTTAACTATTGTTTTTATTTTAATTATTACAGGGGTGCTGTATAAACCTGCCCTGAGAACCATAGCCCTGTGGCTAGGCGAAGAAGCCCCTAATGTACATATGTCAGTCTCATAAGGAATGTAGATAACACTGACATCAGCGTAGACATCCTGAATAGGGCACGCCCACGGTGGAGGTAGCTTGGCAGGCCTTCTCGACTTCCGTTCACTGGGAATCTTGTTTCCTGCAGGCCTCTCACTGGCCAGAAGGTCAACCTGAAGGCTTCTTTGGACCTCCTGACTGACATCACACTTGAAACCGATGCCCATACTGGCCTCCCCAAAGTGGTCGTTGGACAATGCCGCAGCGACTCAGACACCATCTCAATCACCTTGCTGGATGGGTAAGGCCCGTTCCACCTCTGCAGAGCTGGGCTCTCAGAGGACTTGAGGTCCCCTAGTTTCAGCCCTATTCCTGTACCCACGAGGTGGCACCACATGGAGATAAGAGGTTTAGGCTCTGGAGTCAGACAGGCCTTGGTTCAAAGACCAGCTCTGCTCCCGGCTGGTAACGTCGTGACCAGCTTAGCCCCTCTGAGCCTCAGGTCTCCCTTCAGTGGGGGCGATAATCATGCCTACTCTCAGTTGCTGAGCTGGCCACACGGGAAGGCACAAGAGTTTGGGACCCAGCCTGACAACACTAAGCTCTCAGTAATCATAACATCCTGTATAATAACACGCTGACTCAGTGTCCTTGTTCCCTCCACTACTGAGACCAGAGTGCCGACCCCGATCACGAATCTGTTCCTTCCACCTTACAGGGCTGCCGGGATTCTGCTTCCTGCCTTTGGAAGCTCCGTTGTTTTCTGCATGTGCACATTTAGGGTTGTTCCTCTTTTTTGAAAACTTGGCCCCCTTATCATTATGTTATTTCCAATAACACCACCACCAGTGGGATCCACCCTCTGGCCTCCATGTGGGAGGAATGAGAAGTCAGTGCTGACCATGGGCTCTAATTTCCGGTTGCCCCCAGATAGTCCTTCACCCACTGGAAAATTCCCAAAAGGAGATCTTGAAAACTCAGTCCTCTCCATTAGAATCATCGATCCCTGTTAGTCCACAAAATCCATGCCTTACGCTGTGCTTGAAAGGGCACGTTTGGTGTGGAAGAGGACTGGGGGGGAGGGGTGGCTGTTGGAGAGGACAGGCTGGGAGTTGAGGGCTGGGGCAGCTTGGCTTTGGGGGAAACAAGGCTGGTTTCTCAGCCCTCAGCCTTGAGGGCCCTGAGTGAAGGACACCCTGCCGACCCCTCTTGAGGGATTTGATCACAGGTTGCCTGAAGATCCCACCCCCCAAACCAAAGAAAGGCTCTCCTGCCTGATGTTATTCGGGAAGGCTGGGATGCTAAGTGACAGACCTGAGTCCCGCTGGATACCGCCTTGTCTGCAGGTCCCAGGGAATTCATCCTGTCACTCTGGGTCTCAGTGTCCACCTCTGTGAAATGGCATTCCACTCTGCGCCCCCTGCCTGCTCACCCCAGCGCTCTCCATGGCTGTCTGGGCTCAGTGTGATCTGGCCCCGCCCCCAGATCACTGCACTCCTGCCTTTGCTCACCGTGTTTCAGGCACACTGGCCCTTAGTGTGGGCCGCAGACGGGCTCTTTCTCACCTCCAGACCTGTGCACACCCTGTTCAGCCACCTAGAACACCTTTCCCCTCCACCTCCATGTACCTCTTAACTTTCACGTTCTAAAAAAGCTTCCTCCTGGGGCGCCTGCGTGGCTTAGTCGGTTAAGCGCCTAACTCTTGATTTCAGCTCAGGTCATGATCTCATGGTTTGTGAGTTCAAGCCTCACGTAGGGCTCTGGGGTGACAGTACTGAGCCTGCTTGGGATTCTCTCTCCCTCTCTCTGCACCTCCCCTCCTTGCACTCTCTCTCAATAAATAAACTTTAAATATAAATAAATAACTTTAAATAAACTTTAAAAATAATTGTAAAGTTTCCTTCTATTTTCCTTCAAAATAGTCTACTCTAGCTCTTCAGAATATTGTCCCAAGCTGTCCTTATATATTTAATTCTATGTTTACTTCATTGCTTCTCTCAGTGAAAAATGTATGAATATTTGCTATGTTCCAGACAGGCTCTGAACTCTGGAGAATTTCTGATGACAACACACAAGGACCCTGTTTTCCTGGAGTTTATTGTCCTGAGGGAAAGGCAGACAGACAAGCATCCAGACCATCAGTAAAGAGCCCTCAAGGAAAATATCAGATTATAATGTCAGACAAAGCACTCCCTTAGGCAATCAGTCAGGGAGGGCTGCCTGAGGAGGTGTCCATCAAGCTGAGAGCTGAAGGCAGGAAGGAGCCAGCCTTAGCAAGACTCCCTGTTTAGGTGCCAGGAGTGGGGGTGCTTGTGGTTTGCTCCTTCCCGTGTAACCAGCCTAGTGTAGTGCCTGGCATGCAGGTGGTGATCTGTCATATGTGCTGAATGAATGAATGAGGTCTTAAGGTTGTGAGGAGACTCTCATAGGTTGAGGAGAGCCTCTGGTCAGACGTGGGGTGCCCCTGAACAGGAGCTCTGTGGTTAGAAAAGTACCACAGTGGCTGGGGGTTCAAGGTGCTACTTATCTGCGACGCCCTCCTCACCCTTCGCTGTGTGTCACTTGTGCCCACGTGACTGGGCTTCATCAGTTGTCTCTCTTTTCCAGGCACAGCGCACTGACCAATAGGATCCTGAGCTACATGTAGTACAACCTGAAAAGGACTGTGGCCTTCCTAATAGAGAAGGATGTGAGTCCTCCACTCCTGGGGGCCCAGAAATATGCAGGGGGGGTGTTAGGGGTGGTGGGAGAGGGGCAGCAGGTGTGCCATTCACAGGCCTGATTGTATTCTCCGGGCACCTTTTCTGCCAACTTCTCCTTGGGGTGTCAGCTAGAACCTGTGCCCCTTTACTCAGCCTGGGGAGTGAGAGACAGGAGCAGAGACTGACAGTAGCTGAAATCATTGGGCCCCAAACTTCAGCCATTGGGATATATCCACTTTGCCTTTCTAGCTAATGTGTTCCTTTAAACAATGTGATTATACTTAAACTTATTTAAATACACTTATTTGAAAAGAAAACTATCTCTCTACCATAATTAGAAATTAATATCACTTACATATTAATTAAAGAATGAGGGGCGCCTGGGTGGCTCAGTCGGTTAAGCGTCCGACTTCGGCTCAGGTCATGATCTCATGATTCGTGGGTTCAAGCCCCGCGTCGGGCTCTGTGCTGACAGCTCAGAGCCTGGAGCCTGTTATGGATTCTGTGTCTCCCTCTCTCTCTGACCCTCCCCTGCTCACACTGTCTCCCTCTCTCTCAGAAATAAATTAAAAAATTAAAAAAAAAAGAATAAACACAGACCTGAACAATAGGTAGTTACATCATTTTCATACATACACACGTGTGTACCATGTGCCCAAAGTTCCAGAGATTCTGAACCAGGCATTCTGGAAGGGGGCTGAGAATCTGGGTTTATGAAGAAAAGTCCTCCGCGTGGCTCTGTCATTCACTGAACTGGAGCCTCACTACTCACAATGTGGTCCTCTGACCAGCAGCACGGGCCCCCCACCAGGGAGCTGGCTAGAAATGCAGGCTCTCCCATCTCAGTCCCCACCCCCGCCCCCTCCCACCCAGGACGTGCTGAATCAGGATTTGCATTGCAGTGAGACCCTCAGGGAATTGTACACACAGAATGGCAAGAAACTCCGCTCCATGGTTCCCAGGGTCGCCTTTGATTCCTTACGATTCCAGCGTGCCAAGGTTCCAGGTTTCCAAGCGTATAGGGTTCTGGGATGTTAACATTCTAGATTCTCAAGGTTCTAGGGTTCTAGGGTTCTGAGGTTTTAGAATTCAAAGGTCCTAATGTTCCCCAGTTTTAGACTTCTAGGTTTCTATTGTTCTAGAATCCTAAATAAGGGTCAAAGGCTCTGAGGTATTGCTGGGTGCCGGCTGTTTCTCCCCAGCTGATAACGATTTGTCCTCCTTTCTGCTCCTGGCCATTCTCCCCCTCCCTCCTTCCCTTCTGCCCTGTCTCTCTCTCTCCCCCCTGCCCCCCACCCTGCCCCACAGGTGTGCCCATTGATCCACTTGTTAGTCTCCAACATGGATGACCGTATTTTCCACGACCTCACTAGTAAGTCACAGCCTGGGGACGGTGGGAGCTTTCCCTCTGCAGCTTTCTAAGGGCAAGCATGCACCCTGCCCGCACCCCACAGGAGGTCTGCTCAGGGGCCCTGGGGAGGCAGGAGGGCAGAGTGTGGCTGGATGGAGTGTCTGCAGAAATGAGGGGGTGCGGTGGGCCTCTGAGAGCTCTATCATCATCCCTCCTTAAACCCACAGAACCTGCCTGCCAGCGTGATGTGAGAAAGGGGAGGGGCCAGATCTGGGTTCAAACCCTGGCTCTGCTGTTTAGCAACTGTGGGGCCTTGTTCAAGTGGCTCTGCCCCTCTGGGCCTCGGTTTCCTCCTGGGTGAACCGAGACTGCAAACACTGGAGGGTGATGAGTGGATTAAGAGGAAAAGCATAGAGCCTGATACGCAGGAGGCGTCGCTACTAAACACCTGTCCTTCTCTTTCCCTCCTCATGAAAAGCCATGGCTTCTCCTCTAGCCAGGAGGTGGGGGAGTGGCTTTCTCTGGTTTCTGGGGCTCCAGGCACAGCTGGGGTTGCTGGCGATGCTGGAGCAAAAGATGTGGGGTAGGCGAAGTTATCAGGGTTCTGGAGGGGGCCCTTCTATGGAAGCAGCCACAGAGCCAGTTCCTTGGATGATCACTGTACACTCTTGAACACACCATCCCATTGGATCCTCCCAACAACGCTGTGGGGCGGTACTATCATTATACCCATTGTACAGATGAACAAACTGAGGCTCAGAGAAGTGGACTGGCACGCCTGAGGTCCCATGGCCGTCAGACTGATTCGCTGGAGAGCGGCAGCCATTGGGGTCTGCTTTCTATTGGAGACTGAGGCCTGATATTTATTTGTTCCCTCAGGTAAATTTTCAAAGGACAGTAAGCTGGAGGCTGCCGTCTGAAGAGGGAGACGATGAGGGCGCCGTGCTGCCCAGCTAGCGGTAAGCGTGGCTCTGTGCCCAACTCGGAGGGTGAGGCCCTCCACACGCACCTGTGGTGAAGGCTTCTCCTTTTTCTTTTTTAAATTTTTTATTTGTTTCTGAGAGAGAAAGAGACAGTGTGAGCAGGGGAGGGTCAGAGAGAGAGGGAGATACAGAATCTGAAATAGGCTCCTCACCCTGAGCTGGCTCTCAGTACAGAGCCCGACATGGGGCTCGAACCCACGAACCGTGAGATCATGACCTCAGCCGAAGTCGGACGCTCAACAGATTGAGCCACCCAGGTGTCCCTCAGCTTCTCCTTTTTTAGCAGCAGCCTGAGCCCTAATGTTGGTCATAGACTGAGCTGTGACCCTGGCCCCAGCCTGAGCCCTGATCCTGGCCACACTCTGCACCCTGAGCCTTATTCACACACCCAGATGAGCCGGGTTCCTAGTCACAGACCGAGCTTTGACCTCAGTGATTTACACAGCCATGAATCAGTCACAGACTGAGCCCTGACCTTGATCTCAGACTGATCCATGGTCCTGCTCATATACTGAGCCCTGAGTCCTGGCCCTCGTCTTGGCCTCTGATCTGTCCTCTCACATCTGCCATTGTTCCTAAGGTGAGGGGAGAGAAGGGTAAGGGGAGGAGGATTGGTCAGCGTCAGGTGCCAGAGACAAATCCCAAGCCGCGGGTGCCAATCCCTCCTCAAGACTTCAGACTCTGTAGGGCACTGTGGGGAAGAGATCAGGCGCCGGGTCTGCTGGCTGACTGCTGTCACAGCCCCAGCCCCCAGGGTCTCACCCACATCGGTCCCCAGTGCCTTGACAACATCTCATGTGGCATCTCCATCTGCCAAGGTACAGCCACCATCCAACCAGAGTGACAGCCAGAGCGCAGCTGGAAGGAGCCCTCACAGACCCTCGTCCTCATGCTTGGGACAGCAGCGTCTCTGCTCACCGCCCTCCACCCCCTGCAATAAAAGATAATTTCTGCACCCTCCTGGGTGGCTCATTTTATTCCCGCCATTGGGATGGGGGTGGGCAGTTGGGGCGGTAGAGACCTGGGTGGGATCTGGAAGGGAGATTTTGGACGATCCAGCTTGTTTTACAAGGCACAGAGAGGGCAAGAGACTGACCCAGGGTCACACAGCCAGTCGGTGGCAGTGGCAGACCCCTTGATTCATCCATTCACACACTCTGCAGGCAGTCGGTGAGTCCCTACTCTGGACCAGGCAGGCAGGGGGAATGGGACAGTCACATTCTGGGTGACCCTGGCCAGTGCTTTCCTCCTGTGCCCTCCAGGGACTCTGAGAGGACTTGTGGAGGAATGGGGACCTCTGATCCATGGGCTCAGGAGTCCAGGGCAGAATGGCGTAGGGTCAGGGGCCTGGGCCACATCCCGGCCTGCCCCTCCATGCCCTCTGAAGGACTAGGGTTTCCCTGGAGCTGAGATCAATCCAAGCAGCACCTGGACTCCAGGGCTCATCTCCCCTCTGCCCAGCCAGCCTGGGGAAGACAAGGACCTTGAGAGAGCTCAGCATCCCATGGAGAGCAGCTGCTCTTGCCAGCCGAGGCCCTTCCATCCACGGCCAGGGCTCCGCTCACCCCAAGCTGTGCCAGGCCGTGGCCGAGACAGCGTCCCTCTGCTTACGCCCACACCACTGCCATCCCGGGACGCTGCCTTTGCTGACCACGTGTGACCTCACCAACTCTTAACAACAACCAGAAGACACTGCTCTGGTCCCCTCATTTGACACATGAGAAACTGAGGCTCACAGAGGCAAAGTGACTCATGAAGGTCACATAGCAAGTGTTAAATCTGGATTTGAACACGCGACTATGAGAGCCTTTGCTCACAGACGGGACATCCAGCGCCCAGGCACTCTGGCTGCGTCTCATCCGCCAGCAGGCGCCGCTTTCTTCTGCCCAGGACACGTGAGAGCCTCTCCAGGCTGCTCTTCCTCCCTACGTGCAGGCCTCAGTTTCCCCTTTGCCCTGCAGGGAGGAGGATGCCACCCATCCAAAGGGACTGCCTCATGGGGTCCAGTCACCTCAAGAGACTCTTGAGTCCTTGGCATGGCCTGGAGGGGCCTCAGGCCAGCTCTCCTGAGCGATCCTGTGAGGACCTCAGTTCAGTTGGTGCCAAGGGCTGCTGGGCACAGGGCGAGGGCCAGGGAGTTAGGCACATCTGAGCTCAAGATGGCCCCTGCCCCTTTCTCGCTCTGAAATCTTGGGCAGTTTACTCGGCCTCTCATAACCTGGCATTTTCTACCTTGTCAAAGGGAATTAACAGTAAAATCTGGGTTGCTGGACTCTTGTCAGGGTGGGGAGTGTTTAACTAGGGCCTGACAGCTATAGTGTCTCTGCTACACTCTGAAATCCCTGTCATGACCAATTTGACTGGGGTGTTTGCCAGAGACTACATTTCCCAGGCTCCCTTGCAGTAGCCATGTGACTAAGGTCTGGCCAACGGCCTATCAGCAAAAACTAGGTGTTTAAAAGAAAGGGGTTCCTGGCTGGCTCAGTCTGTAGAGCCTGGGACTCATGATCTTGGGGTTGTGAGTTCAAGTCCCACATTGGGCATTGAGCTTCTTTCAAAAGAGAGGGGTGTTCCCTACACCTTCTTCCTTCCAGCAAGTTAGAAATAGGAGGGACAGGCACAAGTGCCTGGGACCTGGAGGTGGAAGCTGTGGACTGAGCCGGCCAAGCTGCTCCTAAGGCCCTGACCACCCGCGTCTCGGCTCCACAGCAGTAAAAGAATGGGCTAGCTCATTTAAACCAGTGTGTTTGGGGGTCTCCTCTTCAGGGTTAGTTTGTCTCTTACTACCTGCCTCTTCTGCCGAAAACATGCTGCGTGACATTAGTCTGCTAACGTCTCTCTAAGCCCTGTTTTCTTATTTGCTCAGTGACCCCTCAAGGCCCCTCCTGTTCCGACAGGACGAGAGTTAGTGCTCCCTCTGGACTTGAAGGGGAAAGACAATAAGTATTTATTGAGCGCCTACCACATGCCATCACTGTATGAGACTGGAGCCTTTTCCCCCAGGGGACATTGGCAATGTCTGGAGATACTTGTCACAGATTGTTGAGAGATGCTACTGGCATGTCATGAGGAGAGGCCAGGGATGTCACAAACCATCCTACGATACACAGGACAGCCTCTCACAAAGAAGAATCACCCAGGCCAAAATGTCAACAATGTAGAGAAGTGTGTTAAGCATTTATGCACATTATCTCACTGAATTCCTTTTTCTTCTGAGGGATGCAGCGAATGGGTCTTGGGGGAATATGCGGTGACTAAGTAAGGCTCAGAGAGGTGAAGTGACTTGCCCAAGGCCACACAGCTGGTCAGAGGCAAAGCTGGATTCAATCCAGAGTCGCCGTCCTCTAGAGCTGGTGTTCTCCTTCTAGCCGGGGAAGACGGGTGAGTTTCCCTTTCTCACTCTTTTGTGACAGTCCCTCTCTCGCGCAAAAAAAAAAAAAAAAAAAAAGTACACACACACACACACACACATATATATACAAATAAGGTCTCAAAATTCAGGGCTTCTTTGGGCACTAACCAACCTGAGTCAGTGCCAAGACTTTGTCCATGATGTTATGTCCCTCTGGGACACCATTCCTTCTGTCCAGCTGGCTCATTCCTGCTCAGCCTTAATACTTTGCTCAGGGGCGCCTGGGTGGCTCAGTTGGTTAAGCGTCTGACTTTGGCTCAGGTCATTATCTCATAGTTCGTGGTTCAAGCTCCACATTGGGCTCTGTGCTGACAGGTCAGAGCCTGGAGCCTGCTTCGGATTCTGTGTCTGCCTCTCTCTCTCTGCTCTCACCTGTTCATGCTCTTTCTCTCTGTCTCTCTCAAAAATAAATAAACATTAAATTGAAAAAAAGAAGAACTTTTCTCTTGAGTTCCCTCCCAGCTAAGGGAGTCTTCAGTGTTTCTCAAAAAAGACACTGTGCTTCCCAACATGCACGTCTAACCAGGTTACCTTAACATTCTTTCCAATACAGAGAGAGCATTTAGAAAGTGTCCACTCCAGGGCGCCTGGGTGGCTCAGTCGGTAAGCGTCGGACTTCAGCTCCGGTCATGATCTCACAGTTTGTGAATTCGAGTCCCACTTCAGGTGAGCCTGTGCCCCACTTCAGGTAAAACAAACAAACAAACAAACATGAGCCTCACTTCAGGTGAGCCCTGCTTCTCTCTCCCTCTCTTTCTCTCTTCATCTCTCTCTCTCTTCCCCTTGTAGCAATCTCTTTGTCTCTCTATCTCTTTCTCTGCCCCTCACTCACTTGCACCCTCTCTCTCCCAAATTAAAAAATAAAAATAAAAATAAAAAATAAAAAACATTGGTTGTCTGGGTGGCTCAGTTGGTTAAGTAGCTGACTTTGGCTCAGGTGGATTTCACAGTTCATGAGTTTGAGTCCCATATGGGGCTCTTTCCTGTCAGCTCAGAACTCACTTTGGATTCTCTGTCTTCTCTCTTTGCCCCTCCCCTGTGCCCTCTCTCTCTCTCTCAAAAATAAATATTAAAAATGAGAGAAGAAAGAAAGAGAGATAGAGAGAGACAGAAAGAAGGAAGAAAAAATGAAAGAAAGAGAAAGAGAAAGAAAAGGAAAGAGAGAAAGAGAGAAAGAGAGAAAGAGAGAAAGAGAGAAAGAGAGAAAGAAAGAAAGAGAGAAAGAAAGAAAGAAAGAAAGAAAGAAAGAAAGAAAGAAAGAAAGAAAGAAAGAAAGAAAGAAAGAAAGAAAGAAAGAAAGGCGAAAGAGTCAACTCTGGTTAGTATGATTTTTACTTTTCTTTTTTTTTACATGTTTACTTTTGAGACAGGGGAGGGGCATAGAGGGCAAAAGATCTGAAGCAGGCTCCCCCTTGACAGCAGAGAGCCCAATGGGGGCTCCAACCAGCGAGCCTTGAGATCATGACCTGAGCTTAACCCACTGAGCCACCCAGGCGCCCCAGTTTTCACCTTGCTTGTTCATCAATCTGCTCCCATGAGCCTGTGAGCTCCTTGAGGGTAATACCTCCCCGCGCCCCCCAGCAGCCTCAGCAACCAGAAAAGGACTAGATACAGTACAAGCACTAACAAATGTTGAATGAATGAATGAATGGATGGATGGATGGAACTCTTCTTTCTATATACAATCAGACACCATCTTCAGGACACCAGAGTGGGCAGGTGTACAGGAAGTTTCTAGCAAGTATAGGAGACTTGTCATCATTTTCTGTCAATCAGGGCCAGACACCTGGCACTTGAGGACATAAGTGATGGGCTAGGACCAAAGCCGGGCTCCTAGGTAAGTGAAGGCAGAACATGGGGCAGGTGGGCCAAGGCCACTCGGCCCCACTGGTGACTAACGTGGGCCGTGGAGGGGAGGGGAAGAGGGTGGAGAAGTGAGCAAGTGCCGTCTTGTCAGCCTGGCGCCCTGCTACAGCTCTGGCTCAGGCCTCAAAGAGGGGTGAGGGCTTCCTGGAGATGGTGACACCTCATGAAGGAGGCTTCAGGGAAGAGGAGGACACTCAGGACAGGGAACGACTGGCCTAAGGGAAGACAGGGGAAGAAAGAAGGCAACACCTGACTGGACCCGAATCAGCCAGAAAGTAGAGAGCAAAACTGCCACGCAGGGACTTTCAAAGGCTCAATCCAGTGACATACAGGCTGGATCTTTCCAATGTTTGCACGATCCCTTCGGGATAACATCTCAGGATCAGAATTATTTACTTTATGGCTTGGAACATGTTATGGCCCCAGGAACACATCATAGAATTTACCAACCCGGATATTGCTATGTACGCTAGGATGAGGGAGTACGTACATCTCACCGTATATTTGCCAGCAGATAGACACTTATTTTAAATATTTGCTCTTTGAATGGGAGTGGAATTAACTTCATGGCCCTGGAAGAGCTGAAGGTGCCCCACGTTAGGAGAGTCCATTGTTCCATCAACTGACTTGGTTAATTTCTGAAC